AGGCAGAGCCTGCTCAGGGGGGGGGGCGAATTCTTTTCTGCTAGGCATTGACCGTCCACGTCTTGGAGTTGTTGATGAGACGCCGAACACATTTCTCAGTGGTCATCACTTAGCAGAGGACATGCAAAGTACTTATGTGACGGTTCTGCAGGAAAAGAAGGGCACGTTGGGCGGGTAAAAACAGCGTCGGTCACACGTGCCGTCAACGGAATAACGTCGCGCTACCCACTGTGAGTACACGTCTCTCGTAGAAATAGTTGGACTAGAAACAAAAGAACAAATAGGAGTGCAGCCGCAGTTACACAAAACAAAACTGGTTTCAAAGTGAACATTCGCCGCGCAATGATTTGTGACATCAGGAGGACAAGATCCAAATTCCTCGTACAATAGTGCAGAACAAATTCTTCTCAGATGATTGATACTTCAAAAGCGCGCAAGGAATGGTGTATAAATGGGAGACGGAGTTCGCTGTGATTTTGTTGTAATTTTTCGTCAAAAAATCGCTTTAAATTTGTTCCCAAGTGTAGCAACTATACAAGCAACCCGCTCAATCTGTCCTTCAGGCAATATGTTAGGTTGTCCCAAAAGCTGAAACTTTTTTTCGGGGCAAGTTTATTCCAATCGGCAACTTGTTCCAACCATCAAACGAGGCGGTTGCCTTGCTTCCAGAAGCTTTCTGGTTCTGTGCCGTGGCAGGCAGCTGAGTCATTTTAAGGCGTTCCTCGTATTTTTTACCCAGAAGATGGCCGCTGAGGGAGCAGCTCGGATGGCAGTCAGAAAGAAAGAGCTAGGTCAGGGCTACGCGAATACTATATTAGAATTTCCCCTACTAAGCTCCAGGATCTCGAGCAGATCTCTCGAGACGTGTGACCCTGAGCTGTGGTGGGGTAAAACATTGCTGGTAGGACTAAATGACGGGGATTCTCATAATTCCTTTGCAGTTAACAAAAGGTTCCGCTGGTTACCACAACGTTGCAGAGAGCAGAAGAAACTCCCCGCGGTAAACCCACGGATGGAGGGTTTACCATAAGCGCACCTTCCTGCTGTATTGATGGGATTGCACGACCGTTCTACCCTTCCTGGAAGGTATAATCATTGGCGCGTCGTGGTTCACCTAGAGACCCTTATACGGTTTTAAAGTTGTTCAACAACTCCGTTAGTAAGAGAAAGTTTGTAGACACCACCCACATGCGCTCCCTTCGTCGTCCAACTCAATGAGAGAAAAAGTTCGATACCGCCTTACAGTACTTTTTTGCAGGGAGCTGAGCCCACTGCCATATGTGCTTTCAGAAGAGTCAAGTGTATGGAATAGATAGCGAGTTGATTTGTACGAATTGGCTTCATTCAAGGAACGTAGTAGGTCCAAATCGAAGGCAGATGGTCTCCCTGGACGAAGTTTGAAGTAGAAGTTACCTAAGCGAAAGTGATCGGGCCATTCCAACGCCGTACTGTGGAAGCTGGCATTAGTACCTCACTCAGAGCTGGTGCCGTGTGGGGCTTCAACACGATGGGACCTGGTGGAGATTCATATAGCGAAGTGTGACGAAAATGACGAATTTTATCTACCGTAGGGATAAGAGAACAGCGACTGCGAGGGAATGTGCTGCTGCAGGGCTGATTACTCAACGCTTTCCATTGACCACATAACTGGATCTCGGAATAGGTGAAAGATCTGGTACATAATCAGAAAAATTTCACGAACCTTTGGGGCAACTTAGTATAAATCTACATCTACACTAATGAAAGCAGGGACGTAAATAAAGCAACAGTGGGACCATTCTTGTGACGTCGGTGGCTCAAGGAAAGCTGCTGCCGCTATGTCAAAGTTACAAGTCCAGTCTCGACAGGGAAATGCAAGTCTCTCCTAGAGGACACGTAATCATCCCACCATCAGTGTACAGTCGTTTTCGCACCTGTGCAACCGCTACCATCGCGGAACAAGCAACTTACTCGTAGAGCGGAACAACTTCACATATAATGGCGAAGGGTGCCTTCAGGGGTAGAAAATGGCATTCCTTATTTTTTCCATTTTTTTCGCAGCTGTGCATGGGTCTCTGCCTCTCTCCCATGCCATCCCCATCGCACCTGCGCCCCGCATTGACCTCTGATTCGTACTGTATACGTCGTTGCAAAATGGACTCTAGGTGTAAATTTGCCTATGAGCGAATCAAACCAGTTTATGGCAGCTATTTTCCTTCTTTGGCTGGATGGGATGAATCAGAAATGATAAATGAACCACAAAACAGAACTGAAGATATTTATCAAGTATACCGAGCAGGTATATATAGCAAACACTGATGCTCAGCAAACATTCGCTCCTTGAACATTCCGTTATGAAAACTTTGCTTATGCTCGAATTTTCCTCTAAATCTTTCCTCGTGTATTTCCGCATAATCTTCAGATAGTGCAGCAAATGCACTGCACACACAGCGGCTTCCGAAGAACCCACGTAGGCTCTAGGATATTCGGTTATACGGATGCTTTCAGAATCTTTCCCTTTCAAGTTCTCTTAGTTGCCGGCAAAAATACTCCCATAGCCTCATAGAGGTCCCATGGAAACCTAAGCAGCAAATCATATGGTCCGCTGAGCACTGCTGCGTACATCGCCCAGCGCTGAAGTGTATTGCTGCCCATCACTGCGGAAGCTGGGCGTGTAGGGGCGGGAAGGGGTGGATTCACTACGAAGACAGCCAGTTTCCCACCAATGCGATAGCCTGTCAGCTTAACATATGGTGAGGGGCTAGCGCCGCGCCAAACCCAGCAAACCCTCCCTGACGCGCCTCACCATCAGCAGCGAACATCCCTTGCCTTGATGGCAGGGCCTCAGCAGATCATAGTGCTGCCATTCAGTAACGCTGGAGCAGAAAACGAACGGCCTTCTCATGTATATCCCGAGGAATATGACACTTTCTGTACTACCTCCTTGTTCCTGTAGTAAACCGATCAGTGTTCATCACAATGAAAAAATTATTATTTATTGTTCCGCCATCACCAGGTACATCGGATCTTCAGCTGTTTTTGGGCTTGGTAGGCTGGGTGGAAATCTCTATTGTGGAAATGTTCGGGCCTCATAAGACTGCGTTCACACCTCGAAGCGCGCCCACGAGCGACCAATGGCGTCCAGCAGCGTTCCTAGCGGTCGGCAGCGTCAGCAACTAGGAAAGTATGATCGACCTAGCGTCTTCCAACGTCTGCCAGCGTGCACCAGCGTCTATCAGCGTCCGAGAGAGGAGGGTATGGCGCGATAGGAGGGTAGCAGACAGCTGGTACCGTGCCATCGCCATACTAGCAGACTTCCACCTTCTTATCTACCCATACTCTATCAGCTGCCTGCTATCGCGCCAACTCTCCTCTCCCGGACGCTCATAGACGCTGGCACACGTCTGCACGCCTAGATAGACGCTAGATCGATACCTATAGATCCCTAACCCTCGAAACCCTGGTGGACGCTGTTAGACGCTGGGAAATGGTAACAGAGGGTGGCAGACACTAGAGTGATATCTATACTTCCCTAGTCGCTAATGCTGCCGGACGCTCGAAACGCAGGTGGACGCTGCCGTAAAGTATGAGCGCAACCTAAGACCGCGACTCAGTCGAAACGTTAGGTCTTGTTCAACAATGATTCACTTAAGGACATTGTAAGGCACAGTTGGAGAGGTATGAATAGGCTTTTGTAATATGTGATGATTGTGAGATTTGTGCAGATGCACATAATTTTCTGCCACATTTCAGGCTGGAGATGAGACTGTTCATAATTTTCCTGCTCATAGCCAGCATTGTATTTGTTTCCGCTCAGTGGCGTAAGCGCATTTCTACTGGATTGAATATCTTTCATTTTAAATCTTTGCTCTGAATACAATGATCACTTGAAATGTTGACAACGGTGGTAAGACGGGAGCATGTGAACCGACGTTATACAGATTTACACTCCATATCCCAACAATAGAGTGGGCGTGGGCACGTACCCTCACTTGAGCTTGTGGCGCACCGCCAGCCCACAAATCAGCAGGTGTCGCCAGTTTCGCCTCCAGCAAACGTCTCTCTGAGCCAGCTGATGAACTCGTTGCTGAAATGAGACAAGCTGCAGCTATAGTCTACTTCGCAGCAACTAAGGGGCGTGTCAGGAGGGATCAGTTTGGCGCAGTCCCAAACACGTTCTCTACTAGGTGTGAAGCGAGCAAGCGACAAGACTGTATCATACCGTTCGCATCAAAGTTTTCTACTAAATGCAGTGGCATACCGTCTTCAACAGCTGGTAGAGAAAGGGTATGACGAGAAAGGAAACATACATATCGCCTGACACGCCTAAGGTGGCGGCGGTAGGGCACAAAGTTACCAAAATGACTCCGTCCACACTCATAGGTACCTTTTTTATCTGTTACTTGCTCGTTTGCATGCTTGTTTGGCCTCTCGCCTAATATCCCCATGATTCTTTGTCCCAGCTTGGCCGAAATGGGACCTTATTTGGAGCGCTTTTGACGGCGGCATTTCCTCTCCTTTTACCTTCACGAACAAATGGAACTCTTTGCTTTGATAAACAATTCCGTTTTCAATTTGTCATGAATCTCCAACTCGATGGGGATATCGTTGTCCACTGTATGAGGTCCTGGAACCTCTTGCACCCCTCCTACTGACATCCGGGATTCTCAGTCGAGCAGATTCCCCAATTTACTCTCGACTTTGGGTGCGACCAGATACTTCATGAGTGTAATAGCGAATGCGCACGTTCACAGCAACGTGCAGAGAGAGAGAGAGTTCATAAAGGGTTTGAGTACAAGAGTAGAAGTAGAAAGAAACGTCTGGACGTCCATCGATGCTATCCTATCGCTTCCTTTACAAACACTGCAAAATTGCACTTTGATGTGAACGATAAGACGTTCTGATGAGAAGTTTTACGGTCACAGGTGCTAGTGTAATGTGGTGAAGGGGAGGGGGGGGGGTATTCTGTCATTTCTGCAATACAGAGCACTTCTTTCAACAGTTTCATAGATTCATTTGTTTCAGGTCCTCCACTGCCTCCACCACCTTTCCCTCCTTTTCGTCGGCCGTTCGGATGGTACGGCAACTACGGTTATGGCAGGTGGTATGGAAGTGAGTTTTAGGGAAGCTTTACCTCCACTTTGCCAAAGTCAACGAAGAACATTTCCAGGATGGGGATGGGGATAGAAAGCAGTTCTCGCGACAGAGAAATCCTCGAATGTTTTCATTCCAAGAAACAATTATGCTCACATTTCAAGTAACTGTCGTGTTACGGTTGTACTCGAAAGTTTACACTTGTTCATAAAGTGATTTTAGCCTCGTGTTTCTATCGAAACAGGTGCAGTAAAAGACGCCCTTATCGCTCTGAATGCCAGGGCACGCCATCGCGTTGTGATCATTTCCTGAAAAATACGACCTCCCCCCTAATTCCATCCTCAAATACGACCCCCCTCCCCATGCTACCTACCATTCCTAGAATTCCCAACCTCCTACCACTTTTCCCCATTTTTTCCGAAAAGTTTGGGGGTTTGTTCCAAAATTTTGCTGTCGAGTGGAGCGGGGGGGGGGAAGGAAGGAATTTAGATCTTTGGCTGTCCCTTTCCCACCCCAAATACGACTGCCCCCTGTTTCACAGCGTCCGTGAAACAAGAAAAATCAACATCAAAAATTTCCTCTCGGACCAAATCGACCCCTCCCATTGTGATCTACACAACGATGGCGTGAACTGCTGAAGACAAGCTGCACACACCTTGCCACATGCGAGCGAATTGGTCCCGCAGCGTGAAGACATGACCGTAGCTACCCCGAATTGAACTAGTTACATACATCAAGACAACACAGCGAAACGCGCACATCCGTAGCAACAATCCCTAGAGCATGATAGGGTCAGCAGATAGGGCGTTTGGTTAGCTTCTAATGCCCCCCACGCACCCGCTAGGCAAGCTGGCAGACCGCCATCTCGGTGTCACACGTGAAAATACAAGGATCTCCGAAGTGAGTGCCGTTTTCCATTCTAGGGAAGATTCCATGATATGCCACCAAAAACGTCATAGGTAGTGGGGCTGAAAAATCGGAGTGTACTAGCTAGCTGGCATGTATGCAAAGAAAAAAAAGAGGAACTTGAAAAGATCACAATAAGGAGGTCTTTGTCCTAGGCGAAAGGCGAAAAGCCGATGGGTGGGAGAGTTAGAAACGTAGCAACGAGAAAGCAGAGGTTAGAACGGAGGCAACGAGAACAGCATGCAAAGATGCAAGATGGCGAGGCACGGCGAGCTAGCAACTGCCAGCTGAGTCCTCGGTAGACAGTTGCCGCGCTCGCGATTACAGGTATCAAGTGGATAAGTGATTACCCAAAAAAAAAAGAAAAAAATGCAAAAAGAATCTCCAAGAGCACCTTAAACAAAATCGCTCCTTGACAGTCACACCGCCCAGTGATCTCTGTGCAACCGCTGGCTCACAAATCGCTTTTTCGCACCTCCCAATAGTAAATACTATTCAGTGCAAAGAAAAGAGCACAAAAAAAAACAGCAAAAACCACGGAAAACCATCGACAAACTTTGTGTACGCCTTGAGGACTATGTAGCGTGCACCTCTAGTGCAGTCGAGCTTTTGCCAAAAAATTGCATCTCTGTGGTAACGCGTTTTACCTTGCTAGATGGATTGTAGTTGACTGTATGTGCTTTTTATGAATAGAATGTAATGAAGGAGAGCAGAATTACTTATGAGCCATGCGAGCGTGTCAACAAAATGCATATGCAATCCGATATGCCCGCCCTCCACAAAGGAACATTGAGGCGCCCAAGTGTCCCCAGATGGGATAAGACACCGTAAGCAGTGTCGCGTGAACCGAGCGGGTCGACGCTAAACTTCGGTGCTGTAGGCACCCCCTCCCACAAGAACGTTAATTGTCAAGACGTACATTTCCCAGCCAGCCGAAAGTCAGTCGTCCGCGTTTCGGTATTTGCGCGCGCGATTGAAGTGATTCCTGTCAGATGATATTGACAATTAAGTTCTTCTATTACAGAAGAACTTAATTGTCAATATCATCTGACAGGAATCCACATTCAATCGATCAACGCACGCCGCACAATGACCGCGACTGCCGCGCAATGACCGCGACGCGAGACGAATGACTTCGCTGGCGTGAAATGTACGTTTGACAATTAAGTTCTTCTCCCCCCTCACTGGCTGTGTATCTCCGAGAAAATTGGACAAATCTCTCAGCTGGCTACGTACAACGGGGGAGGACGACCAACAACATAACTTTGAGCGGTGGGGTTCTTTGAGCAACCTCTTGCCCAAAGTCTGCTAACCTCCACTTTCCTCACGCTGCCTCCTACTACTTTAACTTCCATGGGAGGGTTGAATGTACATAATACATAGCTGATCGCAGCGAGCGTACTGAATTAGTCACGGACTGTTCAGCGTTGGAATTCCGTCGGTGTAAGAACGTCACAGGGTCGGCTTTTACGAATGGGGAGGGGATATTTTGCACTCTACCTGTTCCTTCTGTTGGTTCGCTGAACTTTTGTGAAGGTGCCCTTTGATTACATGAACTTACAGGTATTCCACAAAGTGGTATGTACAAGCTTCTCTGACTGAGTACCATTTGTTGGGGCCCACCCCCACCTGCTTCCATCCCACTTGAGCTCATACATCTTACTCTTTATAATTGTCACTGATTTGAGAATCCTGACAAATATTATGTGGATGTGAATAAAACTTTCACAATTACCTCTAACGTTCGTTAGCATCCCGGACAGGGCTCGCTACTGCTGCTGGAAGAGGTTCTTGGAAAATGCGGCACCCCACCCCCTCTTAACAATCCTCTCCCACTAGAACCAGGGCACATCACTGGTTGGGAATTTTGGTCGACTCCGTACGACCTCCTCACGGCCCTCTGCCCCTCCTCATCGAGCTGTCGAGCGGGGGGAGGGGGCGGGTGAGGTGGAGGGGGGGGGTGGAGTACATGCGAGAGAAACCCCCCCTTTCTAAAACGTCCGTGAAGCGAGAAAATCAACTATCAGAACAAATTGTCCTCAGCCCAGTCCCCCCTCTCCCGGCGAGCAAATACGACCCCTTTTGTTGGGATTCCCCAACAACGATGTGCCCTGAGTGGAACTTCCCGAAGCGTATATAGACAGTGCGTGTGGAACAGGATGAAGCAACTATCAAATAAATGTTTCCTCAGCACAAATACACTACCCCCTCCAAAAACTGACTGCATACAATCCCCTCTCACAAGTTTGCCGAATAAAATCAGCCGTGGCGTACGGTGCTCACGTAGTCTACGCAATACACAAAACAGCCGGCGGATTGTTTGAAATTCGGGCGGGAAAGTGTTGCACCTCTTTGCAATTTTCCATCGGAACATTTTCATTGTTGTTGCATGTGGTGGTTACGAGTGCTCGGTGCTTGTTGGTTCTCCGTTAGATTTTTTGTAGTCTTCCTTTTGTAGATGAAGGATGTTGCATCTCCGCAGAGCAGTGCAGTGTTCACGATTAATTCGTTCTAGTTTTTTGTTGCCGAAAATGGATGTTCTGTCCCATCGAAACGAAAACGTCAATGCAGGAGATGCTGCTATCGAATCAAAGAAGCCTAGGATGGATGAACAGGTAAAACTAGTTCTCAGTTGTCGTCCGTTCATCACTTAGACATTCCTCTTCGAATTTTATTTTCAGCTGCTCACCATTCGTTTCGTGAAGACTGAATCCCGAGGCACAGGCTCCAGTTTATGGTTCTGCTGCTGCCGCTGGTGCAGATCTTTTCAGTGCTGAAGACTGCGTTGTTCCGGCACATGGTGATTCTTTTCAGCATTCTGTACATCAAAACAGAGGCTATGCCTCTTGAAATGCTTACAACGTTTAAAATAATTCGAAGGTTAATTTTGACCACACAGACTAGCATCTGACGTAATGCTCTATTGAGTCCATCTGAGAGCTTACTAAATCACCTTATTGATGGGAATTCATGCCAAAGAATTAGGAATCGTTAGAGTCATGAATGCTTCCCTATCATAATCGAGCATCACCCCAGTTGTTGTTAGACGTTCAAAAGTTAAGGGGGGGGGGTAGTTCTGCAGACGGGGGTTGTTCCGGAAGTGGGCACCCATGCGTTGCACATTTACGAGGTCCGAATTCGAACCCCTTGATCGCTTGAGCCAATTTCAAGATGTCATAAGAAACATCTTTACCTGTTTATCTATCGCAAGTTATGAGCTTCTGTAACGTGAGAGCCGAGATAAAGTACAAAAGTTTTATCAGAAGCTCACTTTTGTGTCGACCCGACATTCCATTTCAATGAAAAAAATCGACTGAACCTAGGAAATAGTAGGAAGGCTTTCTTACTACTTTATGGGGTGGGAAGTTATCTATCGAACAGCATAGAACACATTGGAAATGATCCTCACTTTTCATATAAAAATCTGTGTAAGAAACAGGCCATTACTTATGAACCAACCTATGAGTTTCTGCATTTGCGTCACCCCTTCAGTTGTTTTACGTTTTGATAAACTCCTCCCGCGTTTGATGTCGATGCTGGTCCTGGATTAGGGCGAGAGGACAGGCCTCTTAATTCTTAAAATAGAGGCAGCATTAGAGTGGGGGGGGGAAGCCTGCGATCGTCAGTCATCACTCATGTGCGCTCAGCATGGTTTTCTGCCAAAATTCGGGTTCTTTTATGGGTTGGCGTCAAAACTTCAGTCAGAGTGGTATAGAAAGGTGAACGTGTTAAGCAGTTGAAATGTAGATTGGTGGAATGGGGATTTCAGAGCTGGTGGAGGCGAATCGCTGAGTTTCACGGTCGTACATCGAATGTTAGAATAAATACACTCCAATCTGCTACGCTAAAGGGCTTCCTGGAGAGGGGTGGGGTACGTGTAGGGGGAGCGAAGCCGTATCTCAAATGTGGAGGTCGGTGATGTTTCCACTTTACTGTTTCCAGTTCCATCGGATGTTTATTCTCTCTTCCTCAGTGGCGGTGTACTGGCAGAGAAGGTGTAGGTCGTAAGTGGAAGTTTTCCTCATCGATGTGGCATCCCTTGATTAGTGGATTCCACGAAAGACAGCAAAGTACAAAAGCAGCTTGAGAGTGCGTTCAAGCTTTGTTGCAGCGTTTTGAGCGGCTAGAAAAATATGGGTATCGATCCAGCTTTGTGACCGTCGTCCAGCATTTTCAGCGATAACCGA